CCTGTGGCTCTTTCCCAATATTACTATAAACTTGCTTGACTACTTCATAAAGTTCCCTAAATTGCTTTAAAACTACTCTATTCATTTAATATATATTCTTAACTAATTTTTTAGATCTAACCTTATATATATGTTCTTTTTTGTTGGTTGTTGTTTCCTGCACCTTGGATGGGTCTGCATAGTCCTGGATCTTTCTAGTATTTTTCTTTGTTGCGTACTAGCGAAATATGTCAACAACTAGGTACGTTCCCTCGATGCCAGTCCCGGTATGGTACAACTGGTTGTGGATCAGCTTATTTAGATGAGTTCTTGACTTCTTCTAACCTCTTGCCTTACTTTTTTTTCAAACTTCTTCTTAATGTATGAATGACAGCGGATGCATACGAATAAGATGATCACCGCACATGCCACAAACAGAAGAACCGGGAAAAGGTTTCTTTGTTGGTTTGGCCACCACTATTGCCTGCTTGGGCTATAATTACTTCATCTTTTGAAACTTTTGCCCCGCACATCTTCTGATTTGTTGTTCAACTACACTTATATCTTGTAGAACATTTTGCAGGTTTTTAACACTTTGACATTAATTTTAAGGCAGGATCGCCATGTAGTCACTTGAGGTTTAAGATAGTTGTTAATTCAAAGACTGGTTTCATTCGAATGGTTTTTATTATTATAACTTACAAACTAAATAACAAAATGCAACATAATCAATAATACTAAAATATACCTAGTTAACCTACTTAATAACATATTATTGCAATCAATGAAATGCTGTGTCGGACATTGCCAAACTTAAGTATTGTATTAAAGGTAATTAACTTATGGCCTAATTTATCCATTACACTGGATACAATTTTATGTACTTATGAAAGCACACTTGCACATTTGGTTTTATAAACATGCTTAATCTTCATTGTTATGCACATTCTTTTCTACTGTGTTGCAAAAAGGAAAATGTCTTTGGAACGGTAATTCATAACGTAAATGAATTGAGACAACGAATTATTGAAGCCGCACAACAAATAAATGGCGCAGGAGGTACCTACAAAACGGATCTTTTTTAGAGCAATTTGAACAACATATTTAAATTTTATTCGTTTAGTTTTAAATAAATATATCTTACTTTCATTAAATATTAATTATTAATTCAAATAAAACACTTATTGTTTTATTTGAATTTATCATTATTGAAATAAGGTTAGAGAATGACCTCGTTTTGCAGTAAAACAACAAAATATTTTTCTTAAAAATTAAACATGGCAAATGTTATACCATTTTAAAAGCTGCAATTTTTTAACATATCTTGCCAAGTTAACGTTGTAAATTTTGTTTACAGTCTGAACAGTGAAAATTAGTTAATAAAAAAAACTTATAAAATCGGGCAAAAATGTTTGGTTTTCAAAAGGTAAAAAATTACTATTAATTTTATTTTGAACTGTAATCAATAGCAGGCCTATTTATGGTTGCGCAACATAAAATAGAATCTTAGGATATGAAATTTTGTAACTGTGACAGTCGAAAAACTTATCAAACTAAACAAAATTCATAAAAATGCCAATATCTTAAAAACTAAGGATTTTTTTACTAAGGTCAGGTTTTGATATTTTGATTGGTCATGAGTTGGCCCATCAGTTCTACAAAGGATATCGTTGACTTTTAGGACACCCTGTATATGATATGATTGTTTCTGAAATATTTAAATTATTTTTAAGATAATAAGTTGAAATAGTTTGTCTTTCTCTGTCTGAGTACGCCATTTTTACTTATTTAACAAGACATATTGACATAATGTCACTATAATAATTAATTTTCAATAAGTATAAATTTTGCTATACTGAGGCTTCTTGATTTTTGACAGTTTAAAAAAACATTTATTGATAACATTTCGAATGCGAATATTTCAGAAATGGTTGAATTTAGGTATATGGTTTGTTATATGAATTAGGCTCCGAATTTTACAAGGAATCGAAAAATAAAATTCATATATAGGGTGATCCATTGAAAAAAATAAACTTTTTGTTTTCCCTGTATATTCATAAATTTTCTATTTTTTATACGTAGAACACGTGGGACACTTAAAATAAAAAAGTTAAAGGGGGCGACATTATAGGGGATCACCCTGTACATATGTATATTCGTACCTGAACGAAAGATTCACAATCGATATAATATATCAAACCTTTAAAGTATCAAAAGCGATATGGAGATCCTGCCTTCAAGGCAGTGCCTTGTAAAAAAGTGGATTTAATGACCTGATACATGAACAAATTTAAAAACCGACAGATTGAAATGTCAGAATACTTTCCTCATGCGCACTGTGGGCCCAATGTCCAAACTAGGTTGCATTAATTCAATTTTTTTTCTATTTACTTAAAACTTTAAAAATAATTAAACTTTGGGACTAACCAATGATGGTAATTAATTATATAATTTATTTTTTCATTTTCCAATGTTGCCACGTTAGTATTTTTGGAAATTAATTTATAAAATACAGGATTATCTTCAACTAGTGTAAGAAACCATGCCAACGTTATCTACGGATCAAAATAAGTCTATTTAACCCAAATTACCTATATACTAAGTTGCTTCGTTTAGTCGTTAGGGGCCTTTAAAGTTTTAACTATTTTTTTAAATATCTTAAGATAATTAAAAACGTATTAATGAATTTTGAATATTTTTGGAATATAAGTTTTAACTGCCAATTAACGTCGTTTGGTGCTAAACTCAGTTATCTTTAAAAATTAGAATAATCAGAAAAGCAAGGTTAGGTACTAATTTTCGCTTGTATTTTTTTACTGTTGTAATGGTTACCAATTTGGTAGCAAATAGAAAGCTCACTTTGTTTAAAAACTTTTTTGTCTCTTGTAAAAGTTGGATGAGCGGTGTAGCCCGAAAAAAATATTTTTTGTTTTCTCCCGAAAATTATTGAACATTATAAATCTAGAGATTCCTTTTTTGCTTCGTTTAGCAGATAAAAAGTGAAATACAGAGTGTTGGTAATAGGTAATGGTGTATAAAGAGGAGGGTTTTCGCATATTTTTTCGGTCACTTCCGGTTTCACCGGAAATGGGTCCAGGTTCAAAAAATTAAATAAAAACCCCTGTATATATTTACATTCTCGGATTCTTAACATAATTCTGGACTTAAATGTGATTTTTTAATGCCTTTTTAGCAATTTTTAACAATGCATCTAGGTCACCTTGATGTAATATTAAAAACGGATAAAAAGAATAAGTAGGCGCAAACACTTTTAACAAATATTAAACGCCATCTATATAATTTGCTCATTGCCCAAGCAATACGTGCGATAAACAACTTAAGATGCATATTAATTTTTAATATTTTCTTTTCTCAGAGGTTTACATTTTTGACTGGGATAAGTTTCGCGATTTTTTGCGATTTTTTTGGTTAACAGTTTTTAGTAGTATACATATTTGTCTAATAAAAAATATATATTTTGGCTTGGCATTCGTTGGCCTTCCTATTTTTTTACTCTGCAAAACTTAAAAAATTAAATATTCATGGTAATTACCTTATCAGTTCCTGCCAAAAACAAAAAAAAAACACGAATTTTCTTTAATTTTATGTACCCAACACAACTAATTGACATGTCTAATGTTAGTTATGAAATGTTTAAGGCGACTTTTGCTTTTCACGGTCCTCTAAGCTATAAAAAAAATCGCAAAAATCGTAGTTTTAATTAAAACGATTGCATTAAAAATAGACTTCCTTTTAAAGATCTGACATTGGGCATTTATAAAAAAGTCTTCGTAGAGTATTTTCAAAAAGCATTTATATTTTTACAAGTTTGAATATGTTTTTAATAAAACAATAGTGTCAAATTATACATTTTCAATAATGACTTATTGCAACCTAGTTTGAGCATAGGGCCCACAGTGATGCGTGGTAAAAGGAGGGTTGAGCGATGCCGAATTGCCCTGGACAATTAATACCAGAAATTTTTTAATAAACAAATTTTTATAGTGTTCCTATCTGGAGAATTAGCACCAGTGCACCCTCTCTTAGAACATCTTGGAAAACTTTTGTGCAATGTGGGCAAGCATTATCATCCATAAAGATAAAATCCCGGATTACCTCAGCTTGCATTTGCTGAGACGTTTAAGATCAATGTAGAGTTAACCAGTCATCCTACCAGGAGCATGGACCAAAGTCCTTCCTTTTGATATGGCACTACTTCTCTACAGGTAGCGGTTTTTTGGTGGCCTCCCCTTTCCCTACATATTCGTATTTAGTTACTATCGCTGGCCTCGTGTTTTGTCAAAAAAAAATATATTTGTTTACTGGGGTAAAATCAATTTTTATGATCACGGGCCTATTCCAAATAAGCTATACATGTTATTGAAGACCTTCAATTATATAAATTCTAAATGTTAAAATTTAGAGAAAAAAATAATTTGCTAAACCTCCAAATCACCCCAAAGGAACAGCAACGATTTGGGGAAGAAGTTTTCTTGTCTTAGGGTGTGTTAAAAAGTCACCCGGTACCAATTAGTTTTTGGGGCATCGTAGGAAAACTTTTTTCAATTTGGCCACCTTTCATTTCTCATAATAATTTTTCTTTATTTCAATAAAATAAATAAATTTGTTTGTTCTTTGTTGACTAAAACTTAGAAAATAGGGTAATTTGGGTGGGCTGATTTCAAAAATAACCATAATTTTGTTCAATTAGCCTTTGTTTTTGAGGTATTTTAAAAACCCGTTTTTTTGGTATGCAAAATAATTTTATTTTGTTAAAAATAGGTTTTTTAAGGGACTTAAATCCCTGCTACTTCATGTTCTCCTGGTACTTATAACCCTTTAAACATTCTATTTTATTTTTTCTTGCACACATCAACGTGGCTTCTACGACTTCGTGCTCTTTAGATACTTAAGAGCTAAGCTGTGACGTGACTTCCGTCGCATGCTAACATATTACTTTAAACGCGCCAAAAAAGTACCTTTTAAAAAGTATTATTATTTATATATTATTATTTTTATAGGTGTAAAACCACATGAATGTCCAACATGCGGCAAAAGCTTCTCCAGGAAAATGCTACTAAAACAACATCAACGAGTTCATACAGGGGAAAGACCTTACTCATGCCCAGAGTGTGGAAAAACTTTCGCAGATAGATCTAATATGAGTTTACATGCCAGACTTCACACAGGTAACAAATGTTTACTTATTTTTTTATAGGGTATTTTCTAAGTGCATTGAGATAACTGTGTTTCAAAGAGAAGTTTTAAAGAACATAGGTAATAATTCATTGAATTTTGCCACAATAAAAATTCTGTTAAAATCTGTTAATTTCAAGTTTAAGGGGTTCCTGTTGTTAAAATGTTAATTACTTTCTATTGCTAATAATAATTATTATTATTTTTTATTATTTTATATTTATTGTTATATATTTCCTATATACATTTACATATATATAATTTAAGTTATAAATCGTCATCACCATCAACCATTGATGATATATAAAAAAGTTTAACAGTAATTTTGCACTCAGTACATTTAATTATTTAAATACCATATTATTTACTACAATTTAATTAAAAAGTCATATTTTTATGATTTGTATTATAATTATAATTATCGTAGGTAAACTTATCACTGCAAAAAAGCCATAACCAGATGTTAAATGTTTTAAATAAAAAGTATAAGTATTTTAATTTGATATCAGAGATGCGTATGCGCCAAAATAAAAAAATACAGAAGAGTAAAACGTTGTAAAGTTCCGTTTTAGAAAAATGGAACTTAAAAACGTTTTTATCTTATCCCATAAAATTACTCATTTTGGCGGATACGCCTCTCTGATTTGATGCTCTCGTTTTAATAAATATTAAATAAAATATTGTCGCAACCCTCTTAAAATAAATTATTTAAAAAATACAAATTGTCAAAGCAGCCACTAATAAGAATTATTCTATTCAACAGCAATTTGTATACCGGACATTAAGCAGTCAATACCTATGTAAAATTGTCCGCCGAATCCAAAAATGTCATCCAAAGTTATAAAAGTGGAACAGTATTTGAGATATAAAACTGGTCTACTTTCATATTTTCACTAATTCGTTTTAAAAGAGAAGGCAATATTTTAGGAACTTTTAACTTCCTTTATAAAGAAGCATTTAAATTTGGTTAAAACGGTTTAAATCATCCTTTAATTTTGCATTTTTTGCTTGTTGGTTTAGTTTCTGGATAACCTGTATAATATACTAAACTTAAACTTCTTTCTAGGTGTAAAACCATACGCGTGTACTTTGTGCCCAAAAAGCTTCACGAAAAAACATCACCTTAAAACCCACATGAATTTCCACACCGGTTTAAAACCCTACACGTGCCAAAAATGCGGACTGGCATTTTCTCAGAGCAGTAACATGCGCACACACTATAAAAAATGCATATTGAAGAATAACAATCCTTCGCAATCACAAGGAAATCCCACGGAACAGTCTACAATACCACAAACATGATATTAGTATAGATGTAGTTTAATTTGAAATTCCAAATTTTAAATTATATTTTAAATTATTTTGGTTTTATTTAGATGTAATAATATAATTATTATTTTTATCACATTTGCAGGTAGAATAATTGTTACAAAAATGATCTGTGATATTTTGTTAGTTTTAAGTTTATATTTTTAACTAAAGTACCAATATTATTTATTACATTTTTTATTATATAACTTTTATATTCTTGTATGCATATATTTTTTTATAAAATACAGATTTTATAAAACCATACTTTTTTCTTTCCAATAAACATAAATCATTTTATAAATACCATATGTGATGCTCCACACCCAAAATCCCATATTTGAATACAAATAATTGAGGTTATCTATCTGTCAGTTTAACGCTAATGTAATGTTATTTTCTGAAAATAATACAATACGCTAAAGAAGCATCGCTAGTAGCGACACCACGTCTTAGTTATCATTGTAACCATCAGCTTTTAATAAGCAGCTGTCGTACGCGTATGTTACAAACGAGTTTTTTTGAGAATAAAGCCCGAAAATGTTAAAAATATCGAAAAAAACGTGGCACGATTTGTTTTGTGGTTGGGTGTTTTTCGAGAGGAAATCCTGGGTTGAGTTTTTACCGGTTTCCCCATAAACAGTGAAAATTCGAATAAGAAATAAATTGCATATAGTCCATGTAAATATAAATTGTAGATACAATAAATACACATTTTAGTAATGATTTACATGAAAATTGTAAACATTTCAATTTAGTAAAAACCATAAAACAAATAGGTCGTGTTAATTCAAATTGCATTTAGCATTATTAAACATTAAATTTTTCAATGTTCTATTTACTTGTTTAACAATCTAAGCTTTTTTCTCACTATACGTACTGTAATGATTAACTTTATATTTTAAAACGATAAGTTTTTTAAATTCTTCATTGTTAACTCTTTTCCCAAATCGGTTTGAAGGTTTCGTGGAAATTGTTCTTTAAAAACCTTTGCCATTGCCTTGCAAAACTTTCACAGTACTTTTATTTCCCCTGCCCACGTGTGTGTACACACGTGTATACATATTTGGAAAAACATTTTATAACCACCAAAATGTATTTGTAACCCTTGTTTATATTCAAGTATGGTAACATTTCCACCAGGTCTGCTTGTAATAGATCGTTAAAGGATTTAATGATGACTCTGCGTCTTTTAAAATAAATTCTAGTTCTTTGACCACATAGGGATATCCCTTTTAACGTCGGTGATAAATTTGTTGTTCTTCTGTTGCAGCCGTTTCATATTTATGAGATACATTTCCCTCAGTTCTTCAATAATTTCCTTATCGTGTGAAGTGTGTCCTTCCTGCTGGAATGCAACCGATTTTATTGTTGTTTGCCTTCAAAAATATGCCCTATTCTGCGACAAGTGAAGCTAGAATCCTTTTATATTTGTCCAACCTACTTGCTGATTGGATCGTCTGTTTCTGTTTGTTTTTAACACAATCTGTCTATATACTTTTTCATCTTCTGCTGTAAATCCTTTCGTTTCTTTTTTAAATATTAATTCGTACAGTTTGTTAGTTCCTTTTTATTTTTTATTTTGAACCAAAAAATCTGAACCATATATTATATATAGGTAGTCGTCGCGGCGAATGTTTCAAATTGCGAATGTCAAAAACCGATTTCTCGACAAACGGTTAACCTAGCGGTTCCTTGGATTATATACGTAAAAGAAAACAACAATAATTGTATTGTCTGCGCTTGGTCCAGTATTTGATGACGCAATTTGAAACATTCGCTGCGACAACTATAGGTACTATTTGGGAATTGCCGATAATCTTTTTTTTTATTAAATTTATTTTGTGCAGTACTGTATATTATGATACATAAAATATATGCATATGTAAGGAAAATGTAAACAAAATAATTCCATTTATTAATAATAAAAATAAATACAAAAAATTATTCTTTGCCGCTGGAACCACTCCTCACTAAGGCTAAAGCCTGATTTATAGATTGCCTTCCTGGTCAACTGCTCTATACAAAACAGTTTGAAATATAAGTGACTTGTGACCCTGGAGGGACAAAATCGGAATCCCAGCAGAAAAATACGCTGGTCAGTGCCATATATACAAAATCTTCAGTAGACTGATTGATTTACGAATGATTTCCACGATGGATGAGTGAACTATTTAAGGAAACATCAGTGCATACAGCCATCTGCCTCATGATGCATGGTTGGAATTGAAGTAACTAAATGGAATTTGAGCAATAAAAAACGTATAATACTATTTATTATCTGTGATCATATAAATAACGAACTAAATAAGTATATGGATTAATTTTCTTTTAAATGCATGTAATGAATAAATGGCTTGGACAAGTATAAGATATATATAAAATATGAATATAATAATAATAATAATAATGTCTTTATTGATTGTAAAAATTTATTACAAACAAAAGGCGAAGTTCAGTACCCTACACTAGGTAGTTCACTGCTCTTCCACTTAACTTAAAATTACAAATAAAATATAATATTTATATATATACATATACATTAGGGTGGTCCTTAATAAGATTATTTTCAAATTTGTTTGCTCCCAGGGGCTCAAATGCTTTCAAATTAATTTAAAAAAATTCCCTGAAAATTTGAGCTCTTAATATTTACTTTAAGATAGTGCGCATTCCAATCTAAGTTTCCTATGGAAATAACATAGGAAAAATTACTTTTGTTGTTTATAATTTTATAACTTGGGAACGAATGAATTAAAAATTATAAATCAAACATATTTTTATAGAGAATTTAACGCTCTACAAAAAAGGTCTCCTATAATTTTTCCATTAGTCCATTGGTTTAAAAGTTATTCAACGTCAAAGTTTAATTTTCATATTATTATTAATATTATCAAGGCTTTTCTATGAGGCACCGTTTGTGTCAAAATTAAAAGTGCTAAATAAACTTATTTTGTTTTATAAATAATTAATTATATGCTTTACCAAATAATTTTTTTATAAATTTTTTTTTTTTTAACTTTTTTTTTGTAAAAAATTTTATAAAATAATTTTTTTATAAAATAATTCTTAATAATAATAATCTTTATTAGCCAGAATGCTATACAGAAAACATATAATAGTATAAATAAATGAAAAACATAAAATAACACAGAAAATAAATAAAATCATATAAACTTAAGACAATACGTATACATTATGACAATTTAAAATATATTATCACTATAGTGATAATATATGAGATCTAATACAATTTTTAAAAGTTGTGATATCACTACATTGTTGTATATCCGGGGGTAGCTTATTAAATTCAAGCATACCCTTGTACATAGTAAAGTTTGACATTTGTACTGTTTTACATATCATTACTATCAAGTTGGAAATGGTTTATATTACGAGTATTATAATTGTGGACATTACGCACATATTTAATATTATCGGACAAGTAATCAGGTACTAAATTGTTTTTAACCTTAAAAATAAATAACATAACATCAACATATATTTTTTGTTTCACTGACAAAATATTCAAGACATTTATCATGGTTTGTATAGGCGTATAACGATTCACATTTAAAATTACTCTCATAGCTCTATTCTGTATAATTTGTATTTCATTAACTATATACCTGGGTAAATTATATAAAAGGGTTGAACAAAATGAAATATGTGGTAGTGCTATACTTTTATAAGGTAGTAGTTTTGTGTATAAGGACAGATTTTTACCTATTCTAGTTATAAAAAATACTTTTTTGCTTAACTTGTTCATTACATAGCTTGCATGTTTGTGAAAATTTAATTGTTCATCAAGGATCACTCCGAGATATTTAATTTCTTTTACACATTCTAATTTGACATTATTACCACTTATATTTAAAAAATTAAAATCAACATTTACAGTCTTATATCTACTCCCAAATACACAGAATTTAGTTTTTGACACATTTAAACATAAACTATTGCTATTTAGCCACTCACATAGCAATTTTAAATCATTGTTTATTAGTTCACTCATTACATTTAAATTGTTCCCTTCTATGTATAGCATAGTATCATCTGCGAACATTTTTATTTTGCTGGATTTAACTATTTTTGCCATGTCGTTTATATACAATATAAATAAAATTGGCCCAAGCACAGTTCCTTGCGGTACTCCATATTTAACAGGTTTACAACTTGAATACATACTTCCATATTTAACTTTTTGTTTTCTATTATGAAGGTAGGATTTGAACCATTCCAGTACCTTTCCACTTAGTCCCATTTTTTTCAATTTTAGTAATAGCAAATTTTTATCTATTGTCTCAAAAGCTCTTTTGAAGTCTAAAAATACTGCCAACACAAAGTTTCCACAATCTATCGCTTTTAAAAATTCATTACAAATATGTACAACCACTGACTCACATGAATATCCTCTTCGAAACCCAGATTGGTTTGATACTAACACATTATTTTCGACACAATATTTTAATAGTTGCTCCTTAACCACAGATTCTAACAGTTTCTCATATATTGGTACTGTGTTAATCGGTCGAAATTCACAGCTTTTTTAGTATTGGACACTTTTTGTACTGGTATTATCACAGATGTTTTCCAATTTTTCGGAACTTCTCCGTATGATAATGACGAGTTGATTACATCCAACAATCTATTTCCAACTACATTAAACACATCTTTCAGTACATTCGTTGATATGCCATCCTCACCACCATTAACATTTTTCATGCCTTTTACTATATTTTTTAAATCACATAATCCAATAGCCTTAAACTCAGAAAAATAGCCGTAGAAACGAACACTGTCCAACAAAGCTTCGTCAAAAACTGTATTTATTGAAGCAACAATATCTTCAACGCTATTTATAAAATATGAGTTAAACTCTTCTACAATAGATGTTGGGTTATTTATCCATTTATTATTAAACAATATTTCATCGGGACAACTCTTTTCTGAACATGGTAGCAAAGTTTTTAATGTTTTCCACATCTCTTTGGGCTGATGTTTAT